TGACCTGAGGCGAAGTCAGACACTTAACTGACTGAGCCACCCAGGCACCCCTCAGTTCCACTCCTTGATTCTTGGAGCACGACCTGTGCCCCTGGGAACTTAATGGCCTGCTCCCTCCGTGCGGAGCCGGACTGCCCTTCGTTGCCACCTAGGCTTTCCTCTGCTGTGGCTCAGGTTGGATTCCCTTTTGCAAGGCCTCATGACTTCCTCCTTTTTTATTCGTTCTCTTTTTGGTCTGTCCTCCAGTAACTTCCTGAGAAAGGTGTATATGGGCTGTAAAGTTTTCTTACCTTTGGAGGCCTGATAATGTTTTCATTTTACTCTCTCACTTTGATTAACAGTTCAGGTGTAGAATTCTTCATGACAGTCATTTTCCTTCTTTTTTTTTTAAGAAGTTGCTTCATTGTTCTCTGGCTTCCGGTGTGGCTGTTAAAGATTTCAAGGGCATTCTGATTTTTCATCTTCTGTATGTGACTCCTTCTGTAGAACCCTCTCTGGCTGTTTATATCACACTTTTCCCTTAGGGTTTGGAAGTTTCACAGTGATGTGGTTTGGAGTTGTCGTGCGTGGTATGGGCCCCCGTCAGTTGTAGGGATTCCTGTCCTTCAGTCCTGGGGAAATTTCTTGACTGATCTGCTCCCTTCCCATCTTCTCTTCTCCTAGAATGACTGACTCCTATTCAGACTTTTCAAATGTTTAAAGAGAGCGCACTGTCTATGCCAAATATCTCAGTGAACACAGCAGTTAAAGAATTCCTGCACGAGTAGCCCTTACATTCTTGTGGAAGAAGAGCAGACCGTAAACGGCACACATAACGGGCATGTCGGTTACCCGGGATGTCAGAGGTTTGTGTGAGCACGCCTGCCGCGTGTGTGTCTGCAGTCACATTGAGTGGCACAGGTGCCGGTGTGGGTGGCTGGAGTTGGATTTTACCAGGGAGCGTAACTGGGCGGAGGAGGTGAGGGCGGAAAACCGTGGCCCCAGAGATTAGGTGGGTAATGACGCCAACGGGTGATCCGGGGCAGATGTGAGGACCCAGTGGGAAGAAGATGGGAGGTGCCGGTGGGATTGGTGGCTTTGGGGATTCGGGGTCCTGAGAGAGGGAGCGGGAAGGATCGGCAGCAGAGGTTCGAAGGAAGGGAACGGGACTGACTTATGCAGGAGATCTAGTATGTGACCGCGAGAGAGTGGTGAGCGCAAGAAGGAATAGATGGCAGGATCCTTGGAGAGGAGGATTTCGAGAAACTGACACCAGCTGTAGAGCACTCCTCTACTTACATGTATCTTGAAATTGCCAAGGCTGTTCTCGAGGGAGTGAGGTTCAGGAGCTAAATGGCAAAGCAGGAGCGGGGCAACGGCAGTGAGGAGGGGTGGCAGGTGTGTGGAATTAGAGGGGAAGAGGCCAGAAAAGAGGAGTTTTGGGGAGCACCGAGGGAGAATAGTTGGGACACAGCACAGAAAGCAGGTCATGTGTTCTGTTCTCAGGCTCGGTGGCAGGAGGACTGTGGAAGCAATCTCCAGAAGGCCAGAGGGCTGCAGAGGGAGCTTCTCAGGGGAGAGCGTTTTTCTGCTAGTGCACTAGGTGAGGAGACGGCTCCGAGAAGAGACTGAGGATGAGGGGGAAATGGTAACCCAGAGTTCCAGGCTTTGGGAAGGGTGAGGAGGAGTTGTACAGAGCCCTTTAGGAAAGAGCGTAGAAGGAGGATGACTGTTCTTGAGATGGACGTGACGATGATGGGGATAACGAAAGACTAGTCCCGGTTCACTCAAGGCAGACGGTGATGGCGACCGTCTGTGTTGAAAGGGTGGAAGTGTCTGGGAAGCATGGCTTTCCTCCCAGTGCAGAGCTCGCCCTTTCCCCATTGGGGGAGTGGCGTACTTGGTCCTCGAGGATTCCCCTGGCCACTGTTGATGGGGTCACAGCGAGGGAAGCCTTCTCTTCCACCTGGACCCCTGATCATCGCGTTCACCCTTGACCCTTGATGATGAATGGTGAAGGAGGCCCGGGGAGACTCACATCTTGGTCCCAGAGGCAGCTCCCCATCGTAGTTCTGAGCTGTGGTGCTCCCCAGGCCTCTGCTGATAAGAGTAATAGGCATTTGGGGAACCATGGCTCTGATTTCTGGGGGAGGGGGCAACAGACCCCTGGGACCAGTGTTTTAACCTTTTTGTTTCTCTGGTTTCCCCATCCCTTTTGATCTCTTTCGCTTTTTTTTTTTTTAAGTTGATTTACTTAATTTGAGAGAGCGCAAGAGAGCAAGTGCATAAGTGGGGGAGGGGCAGAGAGTGAGGGAAAGAGAGAGAAACCCAAGTAGTCCCCACACTGTCAGCGAGGAGCACAACACAGGGCTCGAACCCACAAACCATGAGATCATGACCTGAGCTGAAATCGAGTCGGATGCTTACCTGACTGAGCTACCCAGGCACCCCTCTTTTGCTCTACTTTTTAAAAAACGTTCTTAACTTTATCTTTGAATACTTCTGTTGGGTTTCGGTTTCTGCAGTCATTTCCAGGATGCAGTTATTTTCACTTATCCTGATAGCTCATTGCTTTGTTTTCTGATTTCTTCTGTCTGCATAGTTCATTTCCAAACAGATGCTTTTTTATGTGTGTCATTCGGCCTTACGTTTCAGGGAGAGCTAAAATGCCAGTGGGAAGCTTTAAGCGTAGGTCAGTGTCTTGGTGAAGTTGATGTGGCAGGGTGTTTCGTTCGGGTATGGTGGTCTTGACTTTAGACTAGGCAGATGGTCTTTTAGGGAGACGTGCCCGGGTCCCCCGTGTGCGGGTACCAGCCTCGCCATCAGCATTCTGGGAACTGAGGCTGCACCGGAGGCCTGAGCATGGGGTACGTGTCCATTCGCCTCATCTCCTTGTTCCCCATGTGCGGGGCTCCTGTCTCCACCGGGCCTTGTCTTTTTCCAACCCAGAGTTCCTTTTTGTTGGATTTTTTAGTTTCTTCACTTTGCCAATTTAGAGCAGCCTACAGCTTTACGAAGGTATAACTGGTACGCAATAAGCGGCCTGGGCGTAAAGGGTAAAAAGAAAGGTAGCTACCGTCTTCGTTTCCGCGGCTGCCATAACAAAGTACCACGAACTGGCTGGCTCAGAGCCACAGAAATTTCTTGTCTACACAGTTTTGGAGATTAGAAAATGCCCCAGGTGAGGCAGCAGTAGCCGGGCTGGTTCCTTCTGAGGCTTCTAAGGGCAGTCTGTTCCACACTTCTCTTCTGGCTCCTGGTGGTTTGCCGGCAGACTTTGGCATTCCGTGGCCCGTACACGGCCTTCTGTGTGTCTTCACAGCGTCTTCCCTCTGTCTGTCTCTCTTCTTATGGCATTCTTTTTGTAAGGACACCAGTAGTACTGGATTGTGGGCCCACTCTATTCCGGCATGACCTCATCTCAACTTAACTAAGTGCATCTTCAGGGACTCCCACTTCCAAGTAAGTTCACATTCTGAGGTACCGGGAGTTAGAACTTCGTATGAATTTTGCAAGGACACTACTCAACCCTTAACGATACCGGTGACACCACGACCACAGTCAACATGGTGGAAATATTTGTAACGCTCAAGTTTCTGTGTCCCTTGGTGAACCTTCCTTCCTGAGCCTCCCTCTCCCTAACTCTCCAGGCAACCACTGGGCTGCTGTCTATCACTGGGGATTAGTCTGCATTTTCTGGAGTTTTATAGAATTAGAATTCTACACTATGTACCTACTCACTCTTCTTTTGTGTGGCATCTTCCACACAGCACACTCCGCTCTCCCTCCTTGCTGGGTAGTAATTCCACTGTCTAGATGTGCCACAGTTAGTTAATCCTCCTGTCACATTTGGGTTATTTCCAGTGTGGAGCTATTACGAATAAGTGACTATAAGCATCCTTTATTTTGGGCACAGTAAGGTAGATCAACTATGTAGCCAACTCAAAAACAGATTTGCAGTTATTTTTGCATACTAATATATTTAAGCCAATATTTAAGTTTTAATGGTAATATGGAATACCTAATTTAATATATTAATTAAATGTACTTCTCAATTTTAATATTTAATATGAACTTAAGTTTTAATATTTAAGTTTTCTGAATACTTAACGTAGAATATGTAACCTAATTCTAAGACAAAGCAAAAGCATCTAACTCCCCTTGGAATTTTATTAAAAATGGAATTTTAGGGGTGCCTGGGTGGCTCAGTTGGTTGGGCGCCCAACTCTTGATTTCAGCTCCGGTCATGATCTCCCGGTCTGTGAGATCAAGCCCCGCGTTGGGCGTAGCACAGAGCGCAGAAGCCGCTTGGGGTTCTCTCTGGCCCTCCCCCGCTTGTGCGCGCACTCACTCGCTCTCACTGTCTCTCGAGATAAATAAGAGTTAAAAACAAAAAAGCAATTTGATGAAAGCAGTGAAGAACACCGAAAAGACCTGTTGCAGCCGCCTACGCACGATGGGGCTGCTGCCATCGGCACACCTGGTCCTGGGGCGGGCTCCTTCTGACGCTGCTTTACAGCTTGTCGCCAGCGCCTCTGGCAGCGTGGCCCCCGCGGTGGGCACTCCGGTTCTGGGTGCACGACCCGTGTGGCCGGTGAGGGCCCGCGGTGTCCTTCGCATCTTGTGACGGACCCCTCCTTCCGCCGCAGATCCGGAGGCTGAAGCTGCAGCTGGAGGAAGAGCGGCAGAGGTGCTCCCGCAGCGAGAGCACGGCGGCCGACCTGGCGGGGCTGCACAACGGTTCAGACCTGCAGTTCATCGACATGCAGAGTAGGTCCCGGGGCCGGGCCGGCGCCACGGGCAGGGAGGCTGTGTTCTAGGTGGGGGGTTGCGAGCAGGCCGCCGGCCCGGGGATGGCGTTTCTCTAGAGGAGACGTGTTACAAAGATCGCTCGGTCCTCGGCGAGTGATTTTTGTTAAATTTGGTTTGCTGGAGGGAATTTCTAAACTTCGCGTTTTAAATGATGCGCTGCTTAGGTCAGAAGTACAAGTAGTGATTTAGAAGTCGACCCATCACATTACCCACATGTTATTGAAAAGCATTTCTTTCAGCAAATGTTTATTAAGCACACGCACAGAGCCCTCGGCAAGACGCAGATAGACCGAGGGAGGCGGAGCCAGGGCCCGCGTTCAGAGGCATGGTTAGTGTTAGAAAAGACAGTGTAAATCAAAGCGACAGGGAAGAAGTCACAGTTGACTAAGGAGAGTCATGACGGAGGTTGCTGGGGACTTCAGTCAGCGGTGGGAGAGCGGGGCACCCGAGGTGTGGCAGCAGGAGGGAACCCGGGAGGCGGGAAGGTACAGGAAACTGGAGGCTCCTGGACGGGGGTCAGCAGGGCCACTGAGGCACGGACAGGGCTCCTTGCTCCGTGTTCAGCCTACGCACATCGTGGGGCGAAGGGTACATTTTCTTCTCCCCGGTCCAAGGGAGGCTTGGATCGGTGCCGGAGCTTCTCGCAGGAGACTCGTTCTAGGGCCCAAGGCGCTGGAGATGCTGTGGCTGCCCTGCGGGCATCCGTGTCTGTCTTGGAGACCGCATCGTCCTCTCCCGGGCTGCAGCGGGTGTCAGCGCCTCATGGGTCACACCTTCACTCCCTCCGGGAGAGGATTCATTCTCTTCTTCTGTTCTAGGAGATGCCAATAGACAAATTAGTGAATACAAATTTAAGCTTTCAAAAGCAGAACAGGATATAACCACGTTGGAACAAAATGTAAGTACCTTCTCAGTATGGTGGCAAGAGATTTAAAGTCCCTTTGCAACATCTAAGTGGCCGACTCCAGGAGTACCTAGGTTTCTTTGGGTTGGGTGTCTCTGCAGTTGGATCTCTGTCGAAGCTCTGCAGTAAAGAAGAAAGCCAGCAGGAGAGACCCCGAAGGGCACTTCAGCCTTCCGTTCGCTATTGAAAACGTAGAAAACCGTAGCTGTAATTCTGCTTTTTCCAGATATTTCAGGGGACCTCAGGAAGTCTCTTAGTTTGAAAATCCCTTATTCTACGTTTCAAGAAGTCTAAAAGCTTTTCCATTAGTGTGTCTGATCCTGCAGTGTTACTTTGGCACTTAATATGTCCATCGTAAACCTGACGTGAGAAATTGGCCCTATGTTGACTGTCCGGCTGTAATCCTCTCAGGGGACACTTCCTCGTCTATAAATAGCCGCTGGGTTCTGAGAGGCCCTGTGACTCACCGTGAGGGGACAACTTGGGATTTGTAATGACGCTGCGTTTCCATGGTGGCTGCAAGCAAAGGGCTCCCGGTGCCCGTCAGCAGAGGCCCGTGTTCTCTTGTTGACAGGTCAGCCGACTCGAGGGCCAGGTGCTGAGGTATAAGACCGCCGCCGAGAATGCGGAGAAAGTGGAAGATGAACTGAAGGCGGAGAAGAGGAAGCTACAGCGAGAGGTACCTGCTTTTGCGCGCTCACGTTCCTAAAACGTAAAGATCCTTCGCGGCGTCACGAGTTGAATCCTGGGTCCAGTCCTAAGGGAACAGCGGTGGGTCTCTCCCTGTTCCGTGGTGGGTTTTGACCTGCACGGTGACTGCCATTTATTTACTTGTATGTTTCGGTCAGTTCGAGACTAAGGAAGAGGAGAGGTTTCCCTTTTGTTTTAGCACCGGTCTTTTCCTCCACCTGCTGTATGTCTGTCCTTTCTGTGCGCCGCCAGCGGGTCCCGTCTCGCAGACAGGGGCATTGAAGTGGCACCGGGTTTTGTGTGTGACCGTGTCAAGTGACCGGGCTCTCCCTGTCCGCAGTTACGAACGGCACTGGACAAGATCGAGGAGGTGGAGATGACCAACAGCCACCTGGCCAAGCGGCTGGAAAAGATGAAGGCCAACAGGACAGCACTTCTGGCCCAGCAGTAGGAGGCGCCCCTCCGCCCGGGAGCCGCGCCCGGGGTCCCGCCCAGAGGGACTTTCTGTCCATTGACACAAACCCCCTTCTGTACTGTTTGAGTCTTGTCAGTAAAATAGCCACCTTTGTATTTTATAATTTATGAGAGAATGAAACAGGTTTGAATCTTCATGAACGCACGCTTTGGATTTCGTTGTAATTTGATTCTAGACTAAGAACTGGTCTGTGCTGGTTTTACTTTTTATTTCCATAATTGTAGAATCGAGTTTACTCACCATTTCCCCCAGCGGCCTCCGTGACGGGGCTCTCGTCACGGCGAGAGGACGGCGGTTCTGTGAGCGCCCCGTGAGATACTTGGCTGGAGACCTCGGGAAACACAAGTGCCTTCTCCACGGTGCAATCCAGACTTCAGTCCTCTCCAGCGGTCAAAGACACTTACCCTTCGTATCAGATAGCATTTATATTTTAGTGAAGAAACAGGTTCACACGTGGGGAATGTATGTTTCACTCAAATTTCTATGTTTGGAGGAAGAAGCCTTTTTTTGTAAAATATTTAAATTTATATAAGAAAATGTTAGAAAAAATACGGATACGGGGAGTGTATAGAAAACTTGCTTTATTGCATGTGGCCGGGGAAGTCCAAAGCCTGACGCTCTTAAGGTAAGAGTAGGGCCCTTTGTCGTCAACATCGCCTGTGCTGTATCTCGTGTAAAGTATCTCATCTGCTGCTGATTTGTGGAATGAAACCTCAGACGAGCCCGGCGGGGGGGTGCGGTGGGGGGAGAAGTCGGCCCAAGACCCTATTAAACACACCCTCTTGCTGACCACAGCTGGCTCCTGACACATTCATTTTGTTACGGGAGCCTTTCAACACATCGGGGCAGCCACGTCCCTCTTACGCTGCCCCTCTTCTCCTCCTCCTCCTCACGGAAAATAATCTGGAATATACAGCTTTTTAAGAACTTCAGTCGCGTCTTTAAACGTACCCAGTTTGAGGCATTTATCATGGGGCCATTTTGCAGGATCCGTGATTCTCGTCTGCCCTCAGAATCAAGGTGTTTGTGGAGATGGTGGTTGCATGTTCGTAACAAATACCGCGAGAAGTCTAATCAGTCAGTCCAGGGCACGTAAGATAACAAAGTTAGACTTGGAATTACATCCTGAAGCTAACTCGGATGTGAAGAAAATCTCTGCGAATTACCCTCTTCAGAGCAGTTAGCCTTTTGTTTTTAAAATATGGAACCGGTGTCGTGAGTCCGGGGGGATTTCCTACATATTTCTTTCGCAGCCGTAGTAGTGGGACCCGGGGTAGGAGGGGTGGGGGCCCACAGCTGGAGCCAGCACACCGTGAGGTGACCCCTCCTCGCCCCGCTGGGCTCCCGGAGGGCCGCTGCTGAGACGCCCTGTCAACTTTTTGGAAGTTCTACGTGGTAGAACCTGATCCTGCTTCTTTTGTGATACAACAGATTTGTCTCTTCCAAAGGGAATGGTTCCACTTTTTCTTAAGGGACGGTTCCCTGTTCTTTCCATGGAACGTTCTTTACTGAGTCTTGTCATCTGGATTTTACCTCAAAACTGTAGGCGTTCTTCCCGTGCACACTGCACATTTCTGTGAACCAGGCTAGTATTAAAGGCATCTGACGGTAGTGGCACATACGGCTCGGGTTTGTATTTTTACGTCATCCTTCGGGTCAGAATAATGAGAACTTAAGCTGGTAGTGTTCACATCCCTTAACGAAGGAGGCTGGTTTAAAACGTTCACCAGTTACAGATTCCATAAGGACTTCTGTCTTCTCTCAAGGTTTTTTCATTACGAATAAACTAATGAGCTTAGGTTACTGAGGGTGCTAACAGATCCTCGACTCACCTTTCTCCATACTCCGTGTCACCAGAGCCTCTTCTAGTTCAGGACTCTAGTTTTGGGGCTTAACCGACTGAACCACCCTGGTGCCCCAGGACCTGTTTTAAAAGGCACGTGGGCCAACATTAATTTGCATCACCCAGTATTAGAAATTTACCAGAATACACAAAGACTCAAACCAGAGCAAGAACTGCAAAATCTTCGGGGCATTTTTAGAATTACGAGATGCCCAGAGGGCTTTCAAACTACTTCGGATTTTTTTTTAACACAGCCAGGTATATTATAGGTAAAAATGGATCCAGAACCTTTCAAGTGTAATTCTTAACATTTATTTATTTTTGACAGAGCACGAGCAGGGGAGGGGCAGAGAGAGAGGGAGACACAGAATCGGAAGCAGGCTCCAGGCTCCAAGCTGTCAGTACAGAGCCCAGTGCGGGGCTGGAATTCACGAACCGCGAAGATCATGACCTGAGCCAAAGTTGGAGGCTCAACCGACTGAGCCCCTCAAGTATTAATAAGGAATCGGGCGCCTAGGTGGCTCAGTCGGTTAAGCGTCCGACTTCGGCTCAGGTTGTGATCTCGTGGTCCGTGAGTTCTAGCCCCGCGTCGGGCTCTGTGCCGACAGCTCAGAGCCTGGAGCCTGCTTCGGATTCTGCGTCTCCCTCTCTCTCTGGCCCTCCCCCGTTCATGCTCTGTCTCTGTCTCGAAAATAAATAAACGTTAAAAGAAAAAAAAAAAAAAAGGAATCATGTTAGGATGTGTCTGACAATTTATTTCTGGTCAGTCCACCAAGGGTGAAAGAATGCTACGGGTCAGAAGGCAGATGGGAGTCTTCAGCCATAAGACCTACCCTCATCAGGACACCGTGCAGGAACCGCACACCCCCGAGTCCAAGAGTGACGGTGCTTAACATCTCTCGAAGACTTTGTATAGATCGGGCAGGTTGGCAAGCTGTAGGATATTTCCATCTTCCGTGAAACGTTCAGGAGGCAGAAGGTGTGAGCGGAAGGCTTTATAGACGATGTGTTCCACAGTCCACTTCCAGGGGTTTGCTGAGGAGCCGGGCGCGTCACTCTGGAAGAGACACGTTAGATGTCACAAACCTCCCGTTCACCCTGCTCACATCCCGGTGCGCATGGTTTCCTGGCTGACGTGTACTGGGCCCGGGAAGTCTTGCTGGTTACAACGGGCTTTCTAGCCAGTGCTGGTGACACATCCTCTTTGGCCAGCCTCTCAGGGAGCCTACAGGCCTGAACGTGAGAGAGGAGCCGCGGGGAAGAGACTTGCTCGCATGGAAACTTTGTTTCCATTTGGGAGGAAGTTTACTGTAGCGGGCTCTAACATAATGTCTGATCCTGACGATGACGTCTGGATGGCAGCAGTAAGCAGGGCATTCACCCAGGCCCTTGTGTGTCCAGCCGAGCCCACCCGTAAGAAGGGCCAGGGACGCCGCCCCAGTACAGCCCTGCTTTCCCAGCAGAGCAGCAGTCGGATGCACAAGGCTGCCAGAGCCGGGCAAGCGCGGGGAGGCTGACGTGGGACCGGAAGGCGGAGGCGACACACGACGGGCTAACGATGGAGACAGCCTCCCATGTCTCCTCGGGATGGCCTGCGTCCTTCCGTTTGACGGCGACACCGTTCCAGACCAGCAGAAGGAAGCAAAACTCACGAATAAAAGCTGACCGCCGTGTCCAACCCTCCCGTGCAGTGAAATCCTAGGAACTCGGGGACGGCCAGTTTCATCTCCTAAAGGTGGTGTGAGGGCCCGTGCCCGTCCCGGGTGCTGATGGGCATTATCACCACAGTACCTGCTGGCTTGAGAGGGTCGACTCCTCACATACATACTGCTTCCGAATGGAGTAAAACATAGCACACTCTTTGCTGAGGCTTTCAAAACATTCCTTTTCTTCATCCCAGTTCACCTGGTCCAAAGAGAATTCGACACCTCAACGTATGTACTGGCTTTAAAAAACACCTTTCATTTCCAAGTGGAGACTGCACACCACTTAAAGCTTTTCAAATGTTGCTTCTTAGGTGTTAAATCTACAGCGTAACTGCCGAGTACTGCCCGGGGAGGCGGGGGAAGGGGGCCTTGGGCTGTTCTACCCTCTTCATCATCCTTCTAGACGAAGGTGTGGCCCTGTGCCCTCTCCCTCCGGCCCACACACCTGGGGTCGGCTTGGTCACTTGCCTCGGTGGCTAGTCGAAGAATGAAGAGAGGCAGGCCCTCCAAAGGGGGCACGTAGTTGTCGATCAGCAGGGGTAATCCAATCAGGTTCCCTTCCTGCTCGTTTTCGGAAGAGAGGCCAACCAAGACAAGGGGACGAGAAATAACACGGTTACAGTTAATCAAGTTCAGTTTCCCGCTGCTTCCTCCGGGTCCTGTCCTCCCCCCTGCACTCTGGGTGGCCAGGTGCCCGACTGGGCCGCGCCCTGGGGGCAGGAGGGCAAAGCACTTAAAGCGAGCTTTCTGTATTGACATGAGCCAGAACAACTATTTCTTTCTATATGCTCACCAACTGAACAACACTTGGAGACGGAAAGCCCCAAAGGTTAAACGAATAAGATGAAGAAACAAGGAAGGCAAGTGGCCTGGCATAATCTGTGGCCTGCGGGACCGTGGGATTCAGCTCTCCCTCACATGAGTCCTTCACTCTGGGAACAGAAATGGGCATGAAAGAGTAAGAAACCGGTTGTGTAACCCAGAAATGCAAGCTGGGAGTGAAGATGTGAACATATATGCTCCGTGCTGGGGTGGGCAGCCTTTTCATCCTGATCTTGGACCAACTGCAGAACTGGACTCTTACGTGAAGAATACACACCTCATCGATCTCCAAGGAGAAATAGTCCGCAAGCATCTCAGCCTTCTTCTTTAGAAACTCAACAATGTACTCAGCAAGTCCTTCTTTGGGGCCATCCTCCTCTGTCCAGCCACTCTCGGGACTGTCTAAGGCGAGCATGGCCAGGTCAAAGAGCGGCGCTGGCTCCTAGAAGGGAGAAGCGTTAACCGTGCAACCCGGTGGCGCCTGAATTCCCTCCCGTGAGACCAGCACGGCTGTACGTGCCTCGGAGGTGCTGTGGATTTGCTTCCAGACCACGATAAAGGGAGTAAAATGAATTTTTTGGTTTCCCAGTGCATATAAAGGTTCCATTTACACGTCTGTTACACGTGAAACAGCACTGTGTCTTAAAAAACAACATACAGGGGCGCCTGGGTGGCACAGTCGGTTAAGCGTCCGACTTCAGCCAGGTCACGATCTCGCGGTCCGTGAGTTCGAGCCCCGCGTCGGGCTCTGGGCTGATGGCTCAGAGCCTGGAGCCTGTTTCCGATTCTGTGTCTCCCTCTCTCTCTGCCCCTCCCCCGTTCATGCTCTGTCTCTCTCTGTCCCAAAAATAAATAAATGTTGAAAAAAAAATTAAAAAAAAAAAAACAACGTACATACCTTAGCTAAATTTATTGCTAAAAAATGCTAGCCATCATCTGAGTTTCCAGTGAGTTATAATCACTGATCAGTTTGTGTTGTGCACAAATAGGATAACAACAAAAAAGTCTGAAATGCTGTGAGAATCACCAAACTGACAGAGACACGGAGTGAGCACATGCTGCTGGAAAGACGGTGCCACCAGACTTGCTCTGCACAGTTGCCACAGACCTCCCCTTGGTAAAAATGCGATGTCTGTGAAGCGCAGCGAGGTGCAGAACGAAGACGAGGTGTGGCTGTGTGAACAACCACAAAACCATGATCGTGACGACGGGAGAAACCCCAAATCTAACACTCATTCTCCATCTCCCACAAAGAAAACACCCGGAAATCCACAAGGAAACCTCGCTCCTCCTCACTGATGGCCATTTCAACAGAGAGGTGACAGCCTGCTGAACAGGGCAGGGTGAGGCCCTGTGGAGGCACCTGCCTTCTGTGTAGGCCTAAGAACTCCACTTGCTTTCATAGTTCTACTGCCTCACTGACAACTAAAGCGACGGGGGAGGGTGAATAAGTTGGATGACATTCCAGGTAAATCATCGGATTAGGAAGACTGAAATACACGGTTAAAAATAAGATGCCTAAATTGTCTTTCATTTCTCCCCTTCTGTCATTACCGTGGCCATACATCTTACTTTTTTGCATGTTAGGAACCTACACAACATCGTTAGTAATTTTCATAATGGAGGAGTTGATGAAAGGACCTGACGATTCTAAACGTTTACACACTCAGTAACAGCTTTAAAGTCTACGAAGGACCAAACTAATGGAAAGAGAAAAAGACAAGTTCACAATGACAGTCAGAGGTTTCAATACCACCCTTTTTAAAAAATAAACTGGAACAAGTAGACAGAAAATCAGGATCCATAAGATCTGATCATCACTGTCAACCTGCTATGCTTGCCATTCCTAGAACACTCTACTCAACGAGACCAAAATACAAATTCCTTTCAAGTGTGCACGGATCAGCACAGACCAGACTCTGGGCCATAAGACAAGTCTCAGTAATGTAAAAGGATTCAAGTATGTTCTCTGACCAAAATGGAATCAAATTAGAAATCAATAACAGATATCAAGTCACTGGAAAATCTCCAAGTCACTGGAAACAACATACTTCTAAATAACCTGTGGGTCAAAGAAGAAACCAAAAGGGAAATAAAATATTTTGAACAGGATGAAAACGAAAATGACTTGTCAAAAGTTGTGGAAGGCAGCTAAAGCAGCACACAGAGGAAATTTATTGGCACTTGAACACCTACATTAGGAAAGAAGATGTCAAATCAGTGACCTCAGCTTCCACCTTGGGAAATTTGAAACAGAAGAGCAAATTAAACCCAAAATAAGTAGAAAGGAAATAATAAGGATCAGAGTACATACCAGTGAAATAGAAAACTGGGAAACAATAGAGAAAACTCAATGAAACCAAAAGTCAGTTCTTTGAGATCAATACTATTGATAAACTTCTAGCCACACTGATTAGGTTAAAACGAGAGGACATACATTCCCAGTATTAGGAATGAGAGAGGATCTACACATTAAAAGAATTACAAAAGGGGCACCTGGGTGGCTCGGTCGGGTAAGCGTCCGACCTCAGCTCAGGTCATGATCTCACGGCCTGTGAGTTCAAGCCCCGCGTTGGGCTCTGTGATGACAGCTCAGAGCTTGGATCCCACTTCGGATTCTATGTCTCCCTCTCTCTCTGTTCCTCCCCCACTCATACTCTATCTCACTGTCTCTCTCTCAAAAATAAATAAAGAATAAAAAAAATTTTTTTTTTTAAAGAATTAGAAAAAATACTATGAAAAACTTCATACCACTAAGTTTGAAAACTTCAATGGACAAATTCCTTAAAAGAAACAAAAACCAAAGCTCAGTCAAGAAGCAAAAGACAACCTAATAGTTATCTATGAAAGAAATTGAATTTGTAGCTAAAACCTTCCCATGAGGAAATCTCTAGGCACAGGTGGCCTCACTGAATTTTACTAGACATTTAAGGAATAAACACCAATTCTACACAGAAGGGATGCCCCCCCCCCAATTCATTCTATGAAACCAGTATTATGCTGATACCAAAACCAGACAAAGACTACAACAAAAATAAAAACCAGTATCATTCATGAATATATATGTAACAATTGTAAACAAAATTCTAGAAAATCTATTTCATAAACCATACAGAGAAAAGACAGATACCATATGTTTTCACTCTTATGTGAAACTTAACGGAAACCCATGGGGGAGGGGGAGGGAAAAAAAGAAAAAGAGGTTAGAGTGGGAGAGAGCCAAAGCAGAAGAGATTTAAAAACTGAGAACAAACTGAGGGTTGATGGGGGGTGGGAGGGAGGGGTGGGTGGGTGATGGGTACTGAAGAGGGCATTTTTTGGGGATGAGCACTGGGTGTTGTATGGAAACCAATTTGACAATAAGTTTCATTAAAAAAATTAAAAAAATAAAATAAATCTATTTCAATAACATATAAAAAGAATAATACATCATGTACAGGCAGCGTTCATTCCAGGATTTCAAGGTTGGTTTTTAACATGAAAACCAATGTAATTCATTATGTTAATAAATTAAAAAAGAACACCATGCAATCATCTTAACAGGTGCAGAAAAAACATTTGAAAAAACTCAATATCCATTCCTGAATAAAAACTCTACGCAAGCAAGAACAGAAGGGAACTTCCTCAACCTCACAAGGGACATCTCATCTCTTCGTACAGCAGAAAGCATACTTGATTCTGAAAGCTGAATGTGTCTGGCCCTAAGATCAGGAACAAGAGAAGGATTTCCATGCTCACCACTTGTATTCAACATTGTACTAAGGGTCTAGCCAGTGCAGTCAGGGAAGAAAAAGAAAAGCCATCCAGACTGGACAGGAAAAATAAAAGTGCCTTTATTCATACAGAGGCCACGTAGTAACTGATGGAATCTGTAAGAAAGCTACTAGGACTCCTAAGTGAGTTTGTCAAGATTGCAAAGTACAAGATCAACACACGAAAACACCTGTGTTTCTATGTACTAGCAACAAACAATTGGAAGATTTTTAACATGGCATCTATAATTGTGTTGAAGTGTGTGAGATGCTAAGGGATAAGTCTAACAAAAGACTTCCTCCCCAAATTGATCTGTAAATTAAAGATACTCCCAAGAAAAATCCCAGAAGGCTTTTTTTGTAGAGTTTGTCACCCCTAAAAAGAAGACATAAACCTACATAGATAAATAGTAGTATTTTAATTCTAAATTAAAATTAAGCAATGAAAAAGTCTTGCAAGAAATGACCTGATATTGTCAGCTGGGGCTGGTTGTACTTGGGTGATGGGCCTTAGAGGATGTTTATTTCTATTTTTATCTCTTTACAAGTTTTCTTAAGTAGATATGTATTAACTTATATAACAACAAACACGCGTTTAAGCTTGGCTACCAAATGATTGTTCTGCTTTGTATAAAACTGTTATAACTAAAGACACTTCCGTCTACAAATCATACAACATAGACACCGTCCTAAGCATAGTTAGAAAAATCTAACATCCTGCAAATCAGATATTAGGGTAGAGCTATTATTTTCAGAAATGACCAGCTGTTGGAACTTTCAGAAGTGAGAAGCAGGAAATAAACTTACCGACAGCCTCAGAACACCAAAATTGGCAAAATCATAAATGAGTATCTGGTAGAACAGTTCTTCACTGAAAATGAAAATGAAGTGACTTTAAGGAAAGGCTGAATCCATGCTTGAGAGCCAAGCAGCCAGAACAAAGGGGAGAAATAACCCCTGAAACACGGATGGGTCAAAGGGACGCTTCCGCCTTGCTGTGGAGCCTTCTCGGCGGTCCACGGTGACCTCCTCCCCCTCCACAGTGCCGGGCCCACTGCGTGCTCCAGCCACGGCTTTGGCTCTCTGGCCTCCACATGCAGCTTAGAGCACTAAGACTAAGTCACCCATGCTCTGTCCCCACCCCCTGGTGCTGCAAGAGGCGCTTGAATGCCCTGTAGGTGAAATTTAAGGGATTTCTGTTTGCTTACCTTTTCCCCACTTACAACGAATCCTATAAACCACTTTTTTTTTTTTTTTTTTTTAACAATTCACCATTAAAAATGGTGTGGAGTGAATAGGGAGGGTAGGAGAGTTGCTAAATAATCACCAGTGGACACAAGGCAGAATTAGACCACCCTGGTGTATGGTGTAGGATGATGCGCTGGCTGGCAACATTCCAGAAGCAGCGGAAAAGTACACAATACACTGAACCCCTTACACAACACAGCACTGAAATAAATGGCACTTTATAGTTCTTAAGCAATCCGAACCACACGGGGCTGTTTAAAGACTTCTTTTCATTATCAGTCAAAGTAGACAAAGCATCCAGTACACTCGCATTCTAGTGGGGAAACCGAGGCACCCAGTAAGTACCTGACTTGTCCCAGGTCAGAGTTAATAAGGTGGAAAAGGAAGGAGCTGAACCCAGACACTGCACGCTGAACCTGGTTCTCAATCGGGGAAACCATTCACATTCATTACTAGCTGAAATTCTAGGACTGGCCTGGATTTCTGTTTGTGAAGTGAAAGACCCTGACCACGACCGTGATTTGGATGGAGCCTTGGAAATGCACTCACACATGCTGGAAAAGCAGGAAGAAGGGCAGGCGAATTCCTAGCACATTAGTAAGAGACCGCTCACGGGACAAGCCAAAGGATCCTCAAAGCAAAGACCGTGGACCTTGGACAGAGCCGCACCAAAAGGGCGTAGGAGGAGTGAGTTCTTAGCCAGAGATGTACGAGCCAACAGTCGGCTGCACGAGGGCAGTTTCTAGGTGAGGGAGATCAAATTGGTCTTCACCTGTGTGCCGCCCCCAAGCGACGTCCAGTGGCCGCCCCGCTCACAGGCTCCAGAGGCTGAGGCAACCGCGGGGCTCAGTGGGCAGGGGCCCCACGGGGACAAGCGAGGTCTCGTAGATGTAGGGCGGCAGCACCCTCCCCTCTGTGCCGCCTACTCGAGGAGATACTTAATACAGCTTCTAGACTCACTAGGAGCTCACCCACCAAGCTCTGTGGAAACAATCAACAGAAATGTTGCCGGCCACATGCAGAGCAAATGGCACTGCTGTGATCACCTTTCTGTGCTCGTCAGCCCCACAGGCGGGTGTGGTGGCGAGGGTAAGCCTCGGCTGTGCTCGCGGAGGAGGAAAGGGGGCCTCAGGTCTTCTCTCTCTTGCGTCCCACAGTACCCCGCTGCACACAGCAGATGCTAGAATTCACCAGCACCGAGCCCTAAACACCTGGTTCACCGGGGCCAACATTTACTGAGCTCCAAGAAGCTTCCAAACATTAGGCTTCTCCTGTCATTTCCTATCCTCACAAAACCCTGCAAGTAGTGATTTCCAAATTTGCAGATGGGAAATCTGAGACACAGTTTAGGAAAGTACCTTGTCCCCGGTCACATAAACGGTAAATGGCTGAGCCTGGATTTGAAACCATTATCCGCCTGGACCTTTCCAAACACCTCATGCCTTTTGTGCCTGTGCCTGCAAGACCTTCCTTGTAGCGGCCCTGCTTTCCTCACACACTCACTCATTTACCTAAGTTTGGTGGTGTTGAGAAGGTACAGCTTGGTCTGATGCTGTGCCAAGGCCCACTGAGGATTCACGCAGCCCACGAAGGAGTGGTTGTGCAACATCTCTCGGAGAGCTGGAAGACAAAAAGCAGGTTACGTAATGACATCTGACCCTCTGCAGCCCAACACACCAAGCACCAGGACTAGAGACGATGACGCAACACAAAGCTGCCCAAGGACGAAGGAATACTCGAAGATCACAACCTAAGGCAAAGCAAGGAGCCAGAGAAGTACTGTGAGGCGTGAAGCCAGGTTCACCCAAAGGCACCAGAGGAAGCTCAGGAATCACGACTGCTAGACTTTGCAGGCTCTGACGGGGAGAAAAAGAAAAATAAAAATCTAGGACTGGTTTGAAATGGGGAGGCTCACAGGAGACCTCTTCCCTGGCACGTGAAGCTGCACCTTCCAGCCAAAGAGAAGAAATACTGTGTCCCGTGCCCTCCCAGGGCAGTGGGCAAAACTCTACCCACCTCAAGTCTGGGTGTTGGGAGCAAAGAAAAACATTACAGCCCTGAGAATCTATAACCCCAATGAGCGCGTCGCCTAAAACCTTGTATGGAGATTATAGCTTGACGTGATTCGGGGCTGACTGTTCCTCCAGGTCCCTGATAGAATCAAATGCAAACTCTCCGTTTCAATCCAGGCTTCAAATAATCCCCCACAGATAAAATACCAGGAACTAGCAGTCAAAAAATTACAAAACACACAAAGAATGCACCAAGAATTAGAATCCAGAAGAAACCGCATGACCTCTGCAAAGGCTCAGAGACTGGAAATACCAGCAGAAAAGAGAAAATATGTATGTTCAGTATACTTAAGAGGGATTAAAATAATGAATAAGTAGCAGGAGACTATCAGAAATGATCAAGATTTCCAAAAGAACTCAAATTTCTAAAAATGAAAAATATAATAATTGAAATTAAAAATCAAGACGGACTTCACAACAGATTAGACAAAGCTGGCAAGGTAATTAACTGGAATGTAGGTGTAAATAAATTATCCAGAATGCAGCATAGAGAGACAAAGAGATGAAAACTATGGGGAACAGCTTATGCAACATGGAGGATAATATGTAACTCGAGTTCCGGAAGGGGCAGAGGGCACGGGGAGAGACAATATTTGCTGACTTTGAAGACAAAGATATCAGAGACTATCCCAGAAGTGACATAAGACACCAAGCCTCAGCTCCAGGAGGCCCAACAAAACCCACATTTGGTGCACAGAGATACTGCAGGACACTAAAGAAGAGACCTTAAGGGGCACGTGGGTGGCTCAGTCGGTTAAATGTCTGACTCTTGATCTTGGCTCAGGTCATGATCTCATGGTTCCTGAGTTCAAACCCCAAGTCAGGCTCTGTGCTGCCAGTGTGGAATTGCTTGGGATTCTGCCTCCCCCTCTCTCTCTGCCCCTCCCCTGCTTGTGCCCTCTCTCTCTCAAAATAAAACATTAAAGAAAAAAAAAAAAAAGAGTGCTTAAAAGCACTCAGAGACAAAAGAGAGACTACCCACAAAGTAATAAAATATAACACCGATAGCTGGATTTGCAGCAACAGTAGAAGCTGAAAAACGATAGAACACCTTCAACGCATTAAGAAAAGGTAATTTCTTTGCCAACTGGCAATTTCAATTGCCAATCTGGAATTTTAAAACCAGCAAAAACACTTTTCAAAATGCGGATGAACTGGACCAAAAAAACACAGTTTGCCACCCAAGACCTCACCAAAGGATGTGCTTCAGGTAGACCATGAAAGATCTCAGGGAAAGAATTATGAGCAAATAATATTTGCTAATTCCAAACAAGCAGTAACATATTATGGAACAATATGATATCCACATGAAAACCATGAATCTAACACTGTCCACCAAAGACAAATTCCAGGAGGACTAGGGATTTACCCAAAGCATTTTAGGAGGCAATGTAAGAGTGTATCTTTAATTATCCCAGAGTTGGCAAGGATCTTCTAAGTAAGATTTAAAAAGCCAGTCTGTAAAGAATGATTCATAAAATCTGCCTATGTTAAATCTAAGAATTTCTGCTCATGAAACAACTGTTTGTTTAAGAAAAGATGGATGAGTCCTAAACTGGGAGAAGATGTTTTCACGTAATGGATTACCATCTGGAATATATGAAGAACTCCTCAAATCAGTTCGAAAAGGCCAAAACCCAACAGAAAAATGGGCAAAAAACTTGAACAGGCACTTAAGGGGAAACATACTTTATTAGTACTCACAGAGATGCAATTAAAACTACCATTAGCTACCATTTCACAAACACTAAACTGGTAAAAAGTCTGACAAGATCAAATGCTGGAGAGAAAGCAGAACAAATCCAACAATGTGTACATTTATCCGACCCTTCTGAAAAACAATTTATCATCTTATGACCCAGGAGTAGCTCTCCTACATATATACCCATAGCAAGCTTCCAAACCTGCGTGCCAAGCTCTTGAATCTCCTGTGTCCAAGAGTGGGGTGGAGTATGAGGAAGCAGGGATGAGGCCATGTGAGTCTCTAAATGTCCCTCGACAGCAGAGTGAATGAACAAACGTGCAGTAATAGTCACTAAGTGGAAAACATTACATAAAAAAAGTAAACCAGAGCTATATGTAATAAAATGGACAAATCCTAGGAACATATGCGTAGATACATACATATATATGTAGCAAAAAAACCACAGTATGATTCCATTTATGTAAAATTAAAAAAAAAATTTTTTTTTTAACGTTTATTTATTTTTGGGACAGAGAGAGACAGAGCATGAACGGGGGAGGGGCAGAGAGAGAGGGAGACACAGAATCGGAAACAGGCTCCAGGCTCTGAGCCATCAGCACAGAGCCCGACGTGGGGCTCGAACTCACGAACCGCGAGATCGTGACCTGAGCTGAAGTCGGACGCTTAACCACTGCGCCACCCAGGCGCCCCCATTTACGTAAAATTTAAAACTTGCAGGCTAAACAAATTTTTTAGGGCTACAAATAGGGGTGGTAAAAATAGATTATAAAGAAAAGAAATAACAATCACAAAATTTAGGAAAGTGGTTACCTTTAAGGGAAAGGGAAGGGGGTGGATTAGGGAAGAAGCACCTAAGAGATTCAAAGGTGATCAGCAATGCTCTCTCTTCGGCAGATGTTCACATGTTTTCCTCTATAGGTCCTATGTAAATATTTTATAAATTTGATTTTGTATTTACCAGTGTGTGTGTGTGTGTGTGTGCGTGTGTGCGCGCGCGCGTGTGCGCGCACGCGTTTTAAATGGAAGAGCAAAAAATACCACCACCAAGAGGGGAATGGGGGAAAGCGGTTTGGAAACCACAGAAAAGGGTCTGGGGACAGCAATAAGCCTGTATATCATGTTTTCACTACACAGCACTTTTCTGTTTAAGCTTGGGCACCACAAGTGAATTCTCATACTGTTACATAAGTTCTGTAATACTCTCTGTCCCCCCAACCCCCAGTAAGAAGAGGCTTTTTTTCCCCTTCATTTGTAGAATGAAGCATTCCCCTGTTACCACTGGAAACTCAATGTCTCTACGGGATGTTCCGCGTAGGCGGGAAATGATTATTTTAAAAGCTGGAGAACATCAAATAATCTTGAATAATGAGGCACTAGAGGAAAGAAAAGCAGTGTAATCCACTAAAAAAAGGGTCAGAGATTTTTCCACACAGATTTCTCATGGAACCCTCTGGCGCATCCCGGCTAGTGAGGCGCGGCCCTGCACCCTGGGCGGGGAAGGCAGGAGGGGTCTGCTGGCATCTGGCATGGGGCCCCCACAGGTGCTCCTTCATGCAGATGGGACTCTTCTTCCCTGGGCTTCCTGAGGCTGCTCGGCCCTCTTCACCACCTCTTAGCTGGACCTCGAGCACCCCGATTTCACGCTTCCTCTAAATATCTCCACAGCCTTATTAGTCCGCGGGCATTTCCCTGCCATTCTGCCGGCAGCAAAACGGGACACGATCCCTCTGCGCTTCAAGGCCAAACCACACAGCTGAGTGTTCGATGGAGGCTCTGGGTCTCAGTGTGTTTTTCCGAGAAGCAGCAAATAAAGCCAAACCCGATGGAAGCGCGAGCAGTCCTCTACTTCTGAGCGGCCATCTGCAGAGCAGAAGCTCGGCGCCCTGCAGGCCCGCCTTCCAGAAGCCAACGGGTGCCCAGCCTGTGGCTGCTGTCGGAGATGGCCCAGAAGCTCTCCCAGGCTGGTCTCTCCCTGGGCTCGGCTGACGTGGCCTTCTATCTGTGACAGAGTATCTTTTGCCTTACCTTAGGTGGTAGCCGGTTACTTACTAAACACTCCCCACAACACCCTGGTGTCCTGTAGGGCCGGGGTCAAGGCCCATTCACCTCACTTTCTGCCTCAGGGCTTGGCATCGAGCATCTGTGCGGAGAAGATACTTGACAAATGTCTGCCAAGCTGATTTCCTGTACCGAAAGAAACTATCATCTGGGGACAGGCCATGTAAAAAAAAGGATGAACATTTAGACCCAGGACTGTTCGCCAAAGATCAAGAAAGTGAAACTGTGGATAAAAAGTGAAGCACATTTTTACATTCAAATGACAGCAAAAGACATTACGACATTCCTTATCCTCATAAATTAACAGATCAAAATTACGACGGGACTAGCAGTAGGTTTAGTCATTACTAATCTGAGATGAGCCTAATTCCATGCAGCATCCAGTTAACTGGAAACTGGGCCAAAATTTAACCTCATTTCTTGACTGAAAGTGTGCCCACCAGGAGTGGGGAAATCCAGGAGACTCAAGAGAGTTGTCTGAGCGTTCAACTCTGACATCCTTCACGATAAAGATTCACCTCCCGGGCTACTCCCCTCAATCCTGAGTCCACCCACCAGGCACTCTGTGGACACCAACAGGGAGGCGGGGAGTGCGAGAGACGCGATCCCTGCACAGACAACACGATCGCGTATTGCAGATTATTCGTAGATCGAATAATCACACGAATAAGCACAACTAAGGATGTCGCTACAAGGAGGGTATCCCGTACTTCTTTCCTGGGTTAGGGGCACAGCCAGCCTCTGTGGGGGAGCAGTCAGGCTGTTGGTCTGCTGAGGCCGGTGGCCCACCTCACCAAATCCGAGCTTCAGGGAAATCCCGGTACAGCATACACCTCAAAGACCAGCAGCTTCCCGCACCTGGGGCTGTGGGGGTGTAAACCACACGCCAGCGGACAGGACCCAAGGCAGAGGTCCTTCCCCCTGGACGCGGGCTGGCGCTGACGAGGCCCACACACGGTATCCTAGGTGTTCATCACTAGGGCCCAGGAAGGCTGTTGCAGAACATGAAAACGATGCCCCAAAAAGGTGAACAAATTTCCGAGGGGCTCCAGCAGCGCGCTTCCGGCTCCCTCCACTCCCAGACCACGGGCACTACTCCTCCTGTAAGCCCCTCCCCGGCGCATCTGAAAAACCAGCCTCAGATGCGGGATGGGATCACAAGGTGCACCTGCCCACACAGGCAGGTAGGTGATTGTTTAGCATCTGAATCCCGGGCCGGCCACCTCGTGCGCAGGCCGTGCCAGTCACGACCCACCCTCACCAAGGCATGTCCCTGGGCCTGTTTCTGACCGCCGCGATGTTCCAACTCGTCTGTCCTCTCCATCTCCCATCCCACGTCCCCATCTTCAAAACACCTAACAGCAGCTGCTCTCACAGGGCGATTCTAGTTCAATGACGTAACGTGTACAAAGACACAATTCGGGAACATCTAGATTCATCAACTGAGCCTCAGCGACGGACGCTACACCTGATCCAACGTGATGCAGGTTAGCTTGACGCTGCACCAAAAATAGTTTGCAACCAGTCAGAAGTTTCTCGAAACCTGAACTTTAAGTAGCTTGCTTTGCACGAGGGAGACAAACCCTCAAGGAAGACTCAGTCACCTCCAAGTCTGAGGGAGGCTGTCAATGAAACTACTGTGAGCAAGCCTGCTAAATAAATCAAGTTAACAGCCCACTGCTCTTACATTATTTTAAACGGTTGTGAAAGTCCCCAGCTTGAAAGCCAATAAACGGAAGAGCAACCAGAACAAATCTTCACGGAAACAAAAGCCAGAAGCCAACTGGCAGCTACTCCTGCAACTGGCAGGACCTCAGTCACAGGAAGCGTTTACTCTTGCCGTGTGTGGAGACACCTATGTCTTTGCCCACGTGCGGACGAAGGGCCAGACTGCAAAGAAAAAAGAGAACCCGGCAAGGCAAATGGAGGCCTTCCTGAATTTGTTCACACAGGGGATGACTGAGACAGAGAAAAATGGAAGGGGCCGCTGAGTCATGGCAGCCGCTTTAGAAGGTTGAGGAGTAGTGTGGAAAGTGCTAAATTCACCTCAGCCACTCAGGACGTTATGAGTTAATCCAGGTTGTCCTATTTTAAGACACAGCGTTGAAATGTGACTGCTCTAATCAAGAAATGAGTTGCACGTGAAAAATGGAAAGGCCATGGCTGAACCGTGTGGCCTGCAGTGCGGACCTGCCGTCTGGAGCCCGGAGCCGGGTCGTCTACACTTGAAGCACGACTGACTCATTAGGTGGTGACAGCTCTTTGGTGGGGCCGCTGTTACACTCCTCAATCCCTCCCTGGTCAGTTCACGCCCAGGAGGGCGCTAGCCCCCTTTAATTCCTAAACCACATTAGTTAGTTTTGAAGTAACAGGGACCAAAATGGAGCTTCTATACTCAAAGATTATGAAAAGCTATTTCTGAGGAAGATGATGTTGACTTATGTCTTTATCTTCAGGATATAAAAGTATCTACTGACTCTTTACTGTGTAACAAGTCTTTTACTTACATTTTATCTCTAATCAACACAATCATCTTCAAGGGTAAAACCGATCTCATTTTACAGATGAGGAAAACCTGAGGCGCAGCAAGGTTAAGTCACAACTTTAAGGTCACACAACAGAAGCGGTAGGGCCAGGATATCCACTCAGAGCCCTGCAAAGCCTGTGTGCTTCGGCAAGAGCACGTCCCAGCGAGGCTTAAGATCAAAGAATCTTGCTTTAATAGGGCTAAGAAACAAACTGAAGATAGTTTCAATGACTGCCTCACTCTGACTGCTGGGTTTAATGAGAATACCGATGATTATAACTAAAACCAAAGACTACTCTTCCCTTCCCTACCAGTTGAAAATCATGTGTAAGCTGCTGCTGCAGGTTAATAAAGGGAGGTCTGCTTGGCACACTGCGGTGGCCACCCTGACATAAATCCTTCCTGCACTTCCGAAACCTTCGCGTTCTGGCCCTCGGAGACCCCGACAGACCTTGGCACTTACGTACTCTCATGTCCCCGCTCATTAATTTCTTCCTGGAGGCTCAGGACACTGGTGAGGTTGATGATCCTTCTCCGGGGAGTACAAGCTGCTGTCATCTCCTTCCGGGAATCCTCTTCCACCATTTCCACATCAGGGCTTTCCCGGGGCCTCTTTCTGTGAGGACGACAAGGAACCCAGAGATTGCCATTCTTAAAAATTGTGTTCTTAAGTCAGCCAAATTTTGTGTACGCATTTGGAAGAGGGGACAGCTTCTTGTGCTGGCTATGCACGTCTGGGGCGGGGTCCTTGTGCGGGTGGCAGGCCAGCAAGATGGGTCTGTTTTCTAGCATACTGTGTGTCGGCTGACCCCGCGGCCCCAGCAGCCGGCCCTGCACATAGCAGGACTCTGGAGTCACTCGCCCTGTGGGCTGCGGGGCCTTGAGCATATGCGCTGACCTTGCCAAGTTTTGCTCGTTCAGTCCTCTATCAGACACGTAGAGTGCCAGCTCTGGGCAGCCACGCACAAGGCAGACAAGGTGACTGCCCTCACCACACTTACTTTCCAGCTGGGGAGTCAGAAAGACACAGAAAAAAAGCTCATTTTAAGTAGCAACAAATACTAAGAAGAAAACTAAAAAGGTAACACACTGATGGGGCAGTGAGAGGGCCTCTGGCAAGAGGTGACATAGAAGTCCTGAGTGACAAGACGGCAGAGTCTTCCTAGGCCCAGAGCACGGCGAGAGCGAAGGGCGGAAGCTCAGGCAGTTCAGGTCAGGCACAGAGCAGAGTGGCCAAGCACCCCGTGGGACAGGGAAAGCGGGAGGCTGACGGGGAGGCAGGGTGGATGCACCCAAGGGCAAGGGGAAACGCTGGTTTTCAGCTAAGGAGTGATAGTTTCATTCCTGGTTTCAAAAGTTTCTTTTGACTGCTGTGTGGTAAAGAGCTGGTGGTGTTACCTCCCCCGGTGACAAACGGAAACATAATCCTGCCCTGCAGGGCTGCTAAGAGTGTGCACACAGTATCCACCACACGGCATCTTCTCCATAAGTGGCGGCACCCTTATTATTCTCTGGAAACAGCCCTCCAGGTGGTCTTGCCAGACCGACTTGGCAACGGGCAAACTGGAGTCCAGTAACACGTCCAAATCCCAAAGGCCAATTTAGCACCGGGGTCCCAGTGGCCGGCCACGGTGTGGATGGGCAGCCCTGGGCAAGCACCTGGATGCCCAGGTGCGGCACCCAAGCCCGCAGGTAAGGAATGTCCGCCTGGGGTCCCAGCGCCGCACCTCTGGAGAGCGTACCGGGTGCATGCTGGGAATGCAGCTAAATGTCAGCTGTCGTTATCGTCCACCCTTCTCCCGCTCTCACCGCCAGCCTGTGGGCTTAATATGAACTGGGAAAATGCATTTTTACTGAGAGGAGTGGAATGAAGGAGAACGCCCTGGATGTTTTAGGGTTGTCTCTAGTCACCTCTGCTATTGGGGCTGTATCAAAATCCAGTACTAAAAATAAAGGATGAATCTTCTGATCTGTTTTTTTCTGATGTGGACATCAGAAAACAATGGACATTTAAGATATTTCGCAGACTACTGGGTGGGGGACTCTCAAGCCATGGTCAAAGGCAGGGCACTGTCCCACTGGAGTCAGAGGCTGAGTCAGACAGAGAGAAGCTGCAAGCGGTTCGTGAAGTCGAGCCAGAAAGCAGTTTTAAGGGAGAACAGCGGAGGCAAGCCGCTCCTCCCCCCGAGTCCATACCTGGGGTTACCTGGGCTGGAAGGGGGCCCTCTCTTCTCCGACGCTTGCGAAGTCCCCTCTGTTGCATCCCCCTCCAAGCCCTGATTTGTGGCAGCCACTGCAGCAGGCTCCAGGAGTTCGAGCATTTCCTCATCCTGCTGCCTGGCCCTGCCGCTGGAAGCCTCAGGCCCATCTTCTGGGACCACGGCCTGAGGCTGACCGGACAGAGCCTTGCTCACAGGCTGCATAAAGGCATCGAGCTTCTGTTCCCGCGAATCTGTGCGGACCATCTGGTGAGCATAGACCTTGTCGCCGCTTCCAGAAGTGGATGAGGGGGGCACACCCACTGTGGACTTAACCACCTCCCCAGAGGGGCCAGCAAGACCTGGGAGTAAAGTCTGGGTCAAAAAAGAAGGTAGCGGATTAAAAACACTTTTTTTAAGTAAATAAGATTCCTAGCCACCAAGATCTTTCAAGCTCAGTGGTATTTACGTAATATGAGATTCCCTTTACGTTTGATGCTGAACTCTTACTGTATTCTATCTTATATGTTTCAATAAAGTAGGATCTATCAGAAAAAAAAATATTAAAAAGAGGACAACGGGAAGATTTAGAACATGAACTAACTAAGTCCAGGTTCCAGGGGCACCTGGCTGGCTCAGTTGGTAGAACAAGCCACTCTTGATCTTGGGGTTGTGAGTTCAAGCCTCAAAGTGTAGAGATTACTTTTAAAAATTCTTTAAATAAAAATAAAAAGACGTTCTGGTCCCAAAGCGAAGCAGTACTGGAGAAAGAAGCCAGAACCAGGTAAGTCGTTACAGAGGTAGTTATAATATAGGAGTTCTGACCAGAACTTGAAATTCAACAGATACTCCGGTAAAAAATTCAAAAGTTCAACAAAATCCTTATAATTTTAATATTGGTTTCAAATGAGAAATGTTAGTGTAAAGTTCTCCTATTTTTGTCTTTTTTTTCCCCCTGCCATAAGAGGATTTCATTTTTTTATTGTGGTAAAATAAACACAGAATTTACCACTTAACCACGTTCAAGCGTGTAGCTCTGTGGCATCAAGTAGATCCCATCACTGTGCAACCATCACCACCATCCATCTCTAGAACTTGTTCATCCACCCAAACTGAAACTTTGTCCCCACTCTCCCCTACTCACCAGCTCCTGGCAACCACTATCCTATTTTTAAATATACGTATTTCCTAGCTCTGTCCACTGGCAAGGACTAAAGTCAATGACCACCCAGCAGCAGTAAGGACCCCTGGACCCCAGATTATAGTCTCTAAATACCATCCCCACTAAAATAAACCAGATTTCCTTGGAGAAATGGCCAATTCCAGAGCTCGGGCTGGGAAAGTACGGAGTGAGCCTACAACACATTCTCTTGCCAGACAGAAATAAGGAAACTATCAAAGACCAATGGAATTGGGTCATAAGGACAAGAGCACCAGCTTGAAGGGGATTTCGATGGTCTAAGATGGGATAATTTGAGCATCCAAAATAAAAACGACTCTATGTAATTAAACTATACAGCTCTGTTAGCGGTTATGAAAAAATACTAAGAGAAAAAGAAAAAACGCGTATGAAGAGGGAGAGAGAGAGAGACAGTGAGAGAGGACAAAGTCATTAAACATCACTGCAGATCGCTAGGACACCAACTCATTCCTCTGCACATTGATAATTAAAGAGACAGAATTCAGCATTTACCCTTACTTTCTAGTATGAACTGTATTTCAGGATAACCAAAAAGCTCTAACAAATGAGGGAAAGTTATTGTATACAGAAGGATTACAGTTCAGTAATGTAGAAAAAATGATAAAATGAGAAAATCAATCTTGCAATCCTAGTGAAATAACAGAATCAGGTAATGGTCATCAATGAATGGTGAAACCATTAAGCTAAATATTCATGGAGAACTTAACAACGAAGGAAACAGGCTGTCACCAGCTGAACCCACTGATGAGTCCCATCACCAAAATGCATAACAAGTCAGTATGCGCCTCCTGCTGGGATGTGACCAAAAGTACAAGGCAAACACAAACTGCTTTTTAAATCTGAGTGTAATTATGCTAGTTTATAGGAATTCCCAGTTTACAGGAAATGTGGAGAATTAGAACAAGTTAAATGACACTAAGAAGCAATCAGCCAAACAAAAATGTGCATTATTCCACAGGAAGCCTTTAGAATAAGCTAATAGGAACAACAAAAGATTGTACAGGGATTTTCTACTTTCAAAGAGATGTAAAAGAGATTTAAAGACAGATCAACTAAATACAATGGAACTTAAATGGATACAGATTTGAACAAAGCTACTTTATAAAAGGATCTTTTTTGGAAAATTGGGATATCTGAATATGGACTGGATATTAAATGACATTATTACCATTGTTATGTATAAAAGAACACTGTGATTATATAAGGAAAAAATATTTAAAATTTTTTTAAATGCATAACGAAGTACTAGGGAAAAAAGTAAACGTCTGGAATGTGCTTTAAGGTACTCTTTCCCCTGGGGCGCCTGGGTGGCTCAGTCAGTTAAAGCAGCCAACTTAGGCTCAGATCATGGTCTTGCGGTTCGTGAGTTCAAACCCCACGTCAGGCTCTGTGCTGACAGCTCAGAGCCTGGAGCCTGCTTTGGATTCTGTGTCTCCCTCTCTCTCTGCCCCTCCCTTGCTCGTGCCTGTCTCTCTCTCTCTCTCTCAAAAGTAAATAAACATTAAAAAAATATATTTAAAAAAATATTCTTTTCCCCACCCCCCAAGCCAGAGAGGGAGAGAGAAAACAAATATGGCAAAATGTTGGGTTGTTGAAGTTGGGTGATAGGTTCGTGGATAATTTGTGTATTATCCACTTCCATGTATACTTAGAAATATTCGACTAATTAGATAATAAAAAGTCAAATAAAGTAGCAACTCTGCTCAAAAAAAAACAAAAAAAACCCCAAAAAACCTTTCTTCATGGACAATATAAAACCTTTGCAACACACACAGGAAAATGAAGTAAATGCAGTTGACCCTTGAACAGAGCAGATTTGAACGCCACGGGTCTGCTTACATGCAGGTTTTTTTACAGTACAGTATTATAAGTGTATTTTCTCTTCCTTATGATTTTCTTAAAAACCTGACTTTCTTTTTTCTAGCTTACTTTATCGTAAGAATACAGTATGTAACACATACATAAAATACGTGTTAAATGACTGTTTACGTTATCGGTAAGGTTCCAGTCATCACTAGGCTACTAGTAGTTAAAGGCTGTGGGGAGTCAAATCTTATACACAGATTTGTAACTGCACAGGGGGTCGGCACCCCAACCCCCGCCCTGTCTTGAGTTTCAACTGCATTTGCTTCATTTGCTCGTGTAACATCCATAGGAGTGGAAATTAACATGAATACTTCGCAGACAGTAATTTTAAAGTCCAGAGAAGTGAAATACCTTGATGGAGTTGGAACAAGCCCAAGAGCCCCTGGGGTTTGTGATTTCCATACCAAATGGTTTCATTGCAAACCAGGGCTTGTGCTGTAGGCCCTGGGCAGTGTTGTGCAAGGCACAGATGCCAAGCAGGAGACAAAGGATTCTGATTCCCCTCTAGGAGTGGGACAGCTCTGAGTTGGGACCCCACCACACACAGCAATGCTCCGAGGCTTGTGCCACCGCACCAGCAGAGGCAGGCCATCTGATCCAGAAATCACTTTCCTTCTGAAGACACACTGGTCAGAAATCTACTTACTGGAAAATACAACGGAAGCCCACTAAATGAATCGGACTCCTGCCAAATAAGGCCAGGAGGAAGAGGAGTCCTTTTCCCAGTGCGGTCACAGACACAGCCCAGGACCTCTGGCAGATCCCTTCCTTGGATCTCAGCTGGGACAGAGCGAGGGGTGGCCCCTCTGGCCCGGCCAGCGTGCTCCTCATCTTCGTGTCCTGCTTTGAGCCCGTCCCCCTGCTCCTCCCCCACCCCCAGCCAAGCCCTGTCCGGGTCCCGGCAGTTCCAGATCTTCAACCCTCTGTGAGTGGAGCGACCTCCTCTGCCCAGACCCTCCTCGGCTTCTCCCAGACAGCTGCGGGTCTCCATCGTGCTCCCCCGCAATCCCTGCCCCACTACGACCACAGGATTCTTCATAAAATGGCACATCAGACCTCAGCATAAGCTCCTTAACATGCCAACAGAAATGTCTACGTGGGGGGACCTCTGCAGCCTCCTCTCCCCTGGGCCAGCTCCCCCACAGGCCCACGCTTGGGCTCCACCCTGGCTGCACATGACAGCACCTGGGAAAGCTGTCCAACTACGGACGTGCCGCCTTGAGACTGAGCTCTTAGTCTGGAGAAGACCCAGACAAGGCTGTTTCCTAAGTTTCCCAGGTGACTCTACTGGCAGCAGGGTAAACACTGGACCCTGGAACTTCCATAACCTCAAACACGCATCTTCCTGCCCCCCGCCCCCCCCCCCCCCCGCCCTCAGGCCTTTTCTTCACTGTTTCTTCAGCCAGAAATAACTCTTTTCATTCCTCCTCCCCTTGGCCCATCTCATGCCTACTCAGCCTTCGGATCCCAGCCTCCGCATCCCTCCCTTCCCTTCCCTGACCGCCCGAGTCCGGGCAGGAGTCCCTCTTTCTGTCTCGCGTGAGATGTACTCTCTAGCAGGCTGGGGCGCCTCTGTGGAGGCAGGAACTGGCTATGGAGCATCCCCTGGCACCCAACGGAGTCCTGCCCACAGCGGGGTCCTCAGTGCACAGTTGCCAGGGAGCAGCCACAGATATAAACCAAGTAACAGTGATGGTTCCCACGTACCACACACTGCTGAGGGCCTCACCCACGCACGCCAGGTGCACCAACCCTCACGGCGTGCGCGTTGCTCTCACCACCACGGCACTGCGAGGATTTGTGCGCCTGTTACCTTTGCGAGACGTGGGCCTCACGTGGCACCAGGGGCCCACCAAGAGATTGAGGGCTGGTTCCCAGGAAGAACTTCCTTCTGCCCGCCTGCCACACACACCTTTCGGGTGGCATCAGTAGCAACCTGAGGGGACTCTGCCCAGCCCTCTGTCTGGGCTCCAGGGGCGGGGGGCTGCCCCACCGGCACTTATCTCACGGCAGTGCCCATGCCATCTCCCAGCCAGGTGCTTTCCGTGGAGGGTCCTGGGTGAAGCATTCGCCAGCTTGGTGACTTAACAAGTTTTCTGTGAAGTAGGCTCGCAGAAGCCCACTCTCTGCTTGCAGAACCCCGAATAATTAATCGGGAAAGCGTTTCCGTTTCTACAGGTCTGGGGTCTCTTGTGCTTCTGAACACACCCTCGCCACGTGCTGCCTGGAATCACATCATGTCAGAACTGGGAGGGACACGGGACATCGTATTATCCACCTGTTTATTTTACAGAGGGGAAAACTGAGGCCCCAGACAGCCAGGAGTAGCTGAGAATCAAAGTACTGGGAAGCTCAGTAATTACAAGAAGGCAAACGGTGCCAGGCTCTGCAGACCTTCACCTACTGCTTGTAACCACCCTCGGATGTGGGGAAGGCCAGTTCAATCCTTACTGAGGGAGACGTGGAGACCGGGGAAGTTAGTCACACAGTGGTGACCCAGGCCTGCCTGACTCTAAGGGCCCTGCTCCTCCCGCTGCCCCCCTGCTTCGCCACTCTGCCCCGTGAATGTGGGATCGGCCTCCTCCTGAACACCCCCAGGGAAGAATGCACGGAACGGTGCTGTATTCTGTTTCAGACAGCCTGTTTTCCTAAGGGGTCGGTCTAAGGTGCCAGATAGAGGCAGACTGTAAACGCAGGCCTCCTGACTCCAGGCCCAGGGCTAACATTCCAAATTTTTTTTTTTTAACATTTATTTATTTTTGAGAGACAAAGACAGAGCATGAGCGGGGGAGGGACAGAGAGAGAAGGAGACACAGAATCTGGAGCAGCTCCAGGCTCCGAGCTGTCAGCACAGAGCCCGACACGGGGCTCGAACCCACAAACTGTGAGATCATGACCTGAGCCGAAGTCGGACGCTCAACCGACTGAGCCACCCAGGCGCCCTGATGACTAACATTCTAATACCTTCGTGGTTAGGTTCAAATCAGGAGATGTTACCAAAGGAAAACTTCCAAAGCAATCCTTGGAAAGACAGTCTAAAGCAACACGCAGAAGTCTGGGCTCTCCCGTCTGAGGGGGCAAACGTTCAGGTGGGGAAGGCACCAGAGCAACAGCCGGACGGAGAGCGCCCTCACCTGGGTGAAGTACATCCTGGACGAGTTGGAGCCCAGGAGCTTGCTCTCAATGTGCTGTTGCACCCGCTCCAGGATGCTGTCCTCGTGTAGGAAGTGAACCTCGTGCTTTGTGGGGTGCACGTTGACATCCACGTTCTGGGGGCTGATCTCCAAACTGGCAGGGTGAAAAGAGAATAGTTAACCCCAGCAGACTTGGGAAGGCCAAATGACACAGTGGTCAAAACTTCAAGCTCAAGCCGGAGCGACAGGATTCTCCAGCTGTGCAGCCCCAGGTCACTGACATCATCGTTCTTTGCTGCAGTTTCCTCATTTGTAAAATGGACACAATGTACAGTGGGGATTAAATCCGTGTAAAGCACTTCACACGGACCTGGCACATTAATTCTACGTCAGCTGTTACCATCTTTCCAGAACTAGTGGAACTTCTTACTGAGCGACCTGGGGCAAGTCGCTTAACCTCTCTGGATGGGTTTTCTCATCAGTAACCTGTCCCCTACTTACTTCTCAGTATTATGAGGATCAAAACAAGAATACACAAGAGAACTTTCTGTCATTAAAATCTAACACAAAGGTCAGTGGAGAGGCTGTGCCAGCTCCAAACCCAGCTTTCATCGTGTGCTCCGCGACCACAATGTGAATCTCTGTCAGTAGAGGGCACTGGAGGGACCCTGGGGGAGGAAGACGGGGGCCAGGTGGGGGCAGTTTCTGTCTGGTTCGGGACAAGACCTGTTACCCACCTTTGTTTCACCAACACAGCGGCTGGCACATGGGAGGCGTTCAGTGAGATTCTGCTGCACGAGTGCACACATGCAGGAAAACCGTGCCCTTTACCGTGAGAAAGGACAGAACACCCTTTGGCCAGCAGAGCACGGGACTCACTCCGATGGAGCCACTGGCAAGCCCGTCTCTTTTAAGAGGACGGCCGAAAGGGATTTGCTCCTTGTGACTCTTGGGTGCGGCGTCTGCTGCTACGTTACCTGAGGTACAGGAACGGGTGTGTGTTTTTGGGCAAATAGGCTGCATACACGGTTTCAATGGCTTTTCTTAAGGAAGTTGACTCTACCAGACGATCTAGAAAATAAAAGGAAAGTAACCGGCTCAAAACTGTCCTGAAGGGAGAGGTAACGGGTGCACATTCATACCATGCCATGAAATCACTCAGGAAGAACACTTCGGGAGTGACAGCCACAGCAGGCTCCAGGAAGGCCGCTTTTACGTGTTGCCGTGTCTCACTATGGGCTTGGGGCTCCCTCCGCTCACCCACGTCACAGATACGCGGGAGGGTGGTCAATTCGGCCTGCCCGCTTCCCTTCCCTCAGTCTGCCCGGGCGGACTGCCTCGCTGGGCACAGTGGGCAGTGAGCCATCGGTTCTCAGACTCTTCATGCTGCAACACAACACGCTGGCTGCCTATCGCAGGTACCACAGGAGACGATACGCTGGTGACTAGGTAAACTCCAGTTCCGAGTGGTGAGCACCACAAGAGAGGTGTGTGCTAAGTGGTGGGAGGAGAGAGCAACCGATTCTGCCCGGGTACCTGGTGTGGTGGGGGGCAGTGTTCCAACAGTGGGGTGTCCCAACTGAGCGACGAGAGCAAGGAAGTTTTCTGGACACTTCGGGCAGTGCGGATAGCTGAATGTACATTTAAGGTAGTTTAGGAAATGAGGCAGGTTGGAAGGGGGTGGATGGAAAAACACCAACCAAAAGATGGGAGAGGTAAGACAAAAATCAGAGGAAGATCTATTTTCACAAAACACAGCCTTCCTTTCTCCCCTGACAGGTGACCCGCTGGTGACCTGTTCTTCTGGGTCGGTGTTGCAAGGACACGTCCCGTGGTTTTCTCTCTAAGGAGAAGAGAGGCTGTGATCTTATCAATGAAGAGCCCGTTCTTCTCTGAGTGCTCAGCACCCCCGCAGCCCCTCAACAGTGTTGCTGTACTTGGGGACACGTGCCCTGAGCACACGGGCCTGGAGCAGGTATGGGCACCTGAAAGGGGACGGCCAGAGTCCCTCTGCTGCGATTTCTGGACTGGAGACACATTGAGGGAGTGTTCCTTGTCCCACCACCCGAGTGAGAGCACGCAGTGCGGAGATAACCTGATGATACACCTACAAGTCTGACCTCTCTGCTTCTGGGAACCTGGTATCATGACCAGGCTACTAGCACTGATGCACAGCCCGTGCGGTGAACAGCTCACCAGAAGCACAGACGTGAGCTACGCATGTGGCACTTACACGGATTTCTGCTGGCCTGTTCGGTAGCCAACACATGTGTTAAAAAGCAGCGATTCTTCATGGTTGGGAAAAACAAATGAAAAATACTTCTGAGCTCTGATAAAAGCAAACTTTGTTACACATCAGGCTTAAGTCCTTCTTAATAAAGTAGGAAAAAACCCTACTATTATAGATCAGTTTAACAGAACGTGTCTATGAAATATTGACTCTCTCTTCCCTGTTCTATATGGCTTTGAAAACTGCTGTAAAACATGTACAATCTAGGGGCACCTGGGTGGCTCAGCTTCTGAGTCTTGATTTCAGCTCAGGTCATGATCTCACACTCATTAGACTGAGCTCCAAGTTGGGCTTTGTGCTGACAGTGTGTAGCCTGCTTAAGATTCTCTCTCTCCCCCTCCCTCTCTGCCCCTCCTCTGCTCATGCACTGTCTTTCTCTCAGAAAAAACCCATGTATAATCTGGGACATTTATAGCTGGTTATCATTAAAAATGGAACAAAGGAATACACCATTTTCAATGGCAAGCAAACAAAACTGTAGTTGTGAATTGCTTTAAACAAGAAAGGTAAAGGATCTATATGATAAAAATGGTAAGTGCTGGGGCGCCTGCATAGCTAAGTAAGTTGAGTGTCCGACTCTTGATTTCGGCTCAGGTCAGGATCTCACGGGTCACTGAGATTGAGTCCCATGTAGGGCTCTGCACTGACAGCACAGAGCCTGCTTGGGATTCTCTCTCTCTCTCCCTCTCTGCCCCTCCTCTGCATGTGTTCTCTCACTCTCAAAATAAATAAACATTTAAAAAATGGTAAGTACCAAACAAATGGAATGATGCATCTCTGGTTGGAAAATTAAAAACCAAATCAGACACATTTCTAGTTCCCCTGTCAGTCTCTCAAAACCATATAATATGCAATTAAGTAAAAAGCAGCAGAATGCAAAACAGTTATTTACTTAACAAGTAGTGATCATGTAAACAATATGCCTGCAGAGAGATAAAGAGTGGAGAGGAAATTCACAAAAATCCAAATTCATTAGCTAATTTCCTCCTTGATTTCTGGTACTGCTCACTGTATCATAAATAACTCATTCTCTAAAAAGAAAAATCGCAAGGAACTTTGCTAATGACACCCAAGGTACCCCCTCCTTGTGTCCTGCTGTGCAATTCAAACAGTGAATCTTGATCTCGAGAGAGAACAAACATCTGCCTGGGGCCTGCTTATGCGGTTCTGATGCCAGCAGGTGAGGAAGCTGTTCGGACTCACAGGGGTCTGTGTTGCCCTCTCCCGGACTCCCTCTCAAAGGCAAGCATCAAGAGGCCTCTGCAACAGCCAGCCAGCGCTGAGCACGTATCCGAGGGCTGAACAGGTGTAGGCCAGAAATTATGAACACCTCCTTACCGAGCCACACTTCAGCATGAGGGTTCCCTGTGTGTAATCAAACCTGTGGATTAGGAATTTTTCCATGGTCCCATAAAATTCCCTGCAGACATGGTCCTTTTCCACTTACGGTTGATGAAGAGTAAGAAGATACACTTCTTCACGGAGTAATTTGCATTGGATATAAAGCCATTCATTTTGAAGGCTAGGGTTTTATCCTCACACCCGACTTCTATCAGTTCTCTGGTTGGAAAAAAGAAATTCTGAGGCTTTTGAAGATCATGGAAAATTCAAACAGTATAAAAACTCAGAGCAGAAAAATGAGGGCTCCTTCCCATAAACGAATTCTGCCAAATAAGGACCCAGAGACTTGGTTGGTTGAGGTCTTCTGGGCCCACGCATCCATGCATGTGTCCAACCACCCACTCACACATCCGCCTGTTGTCCATCCATATACCCACCTGCCCATCCAGTCACTGTTTTCAAGCACTTATGTTATATGCCAAGCACTGCCCTGACTGCTGGGACATAATCACAAACCTTAAGCTCCGAGACCTTGTTTTACTGAAACTCTTATGTATCTTAGTAACTAAGTCCCAAAGACGGAACTCCAAAAAGACTCGTTTCTACTGAACCCCTTACTATATGAATAGCACCACAATGGGGAGGTTCCTCAGAGCTGTGCTTACGGGGAGGCGGGCTAATAAGGAAGTCTCAGCCTCACTCATCTCTGCCTGCTGGTTCCTCTGCCTGGAAAGCTCCTATTGATAGCCGGCTAACTCCTCCATATCCTTCGTGCCAGGGCTTAACCTCATCAAAGAAGTACCTAACTCTGACTATCACTCTCCTTGACCCCGAGAGATTCTCCTGTTGTGCCTTGTATTTTTCCTTTGAGACATCCAGCATGACCCCTCATGAATGGCATAATTATCTCATGTGTCTTTCCAACTAGGTAGGAGTCCTCTGAGGGCAAGAAGCATTTCTGCTTTACGCCCTACTCTGTTTCTCAGCACAGTGCCCAGCAATTAGTAGGCACTCGTGAGGCATTTGCTGAGTGTATGCTAGAAGCTGTCATGTAGTAATGTGTACTCTGAGGCTGTGAGCAGAAAATACAGCTTGTGCTGTTTCTCCCACACAATAAACCAGCAAATCCTTTCTTCCCCCAGATATCTCAAGAGGCTGGTATTCTGGAAACACGCTTTGGGGAACGGATGCTCTGTGGGATTTCTCATCTCTTGTAGTCCCTAGGAATCTCGTAACGACTAATTCTGAGTCTTCAAATATAATAAAGAAACTCATAAAAGTTTCCTTGTACAATAGGGTTCTCCCTCTGCTCTCGGAACACAATTAAAAAACTTAATTCATTAACAGTAAGAGAAGGGTAATTAAAAGCAAGTTGACTGTTCCCTAGTTTGGAACTTGGTTTTGCTCAAAGAATGAATAATTTGTCCTTTCAAGTAGAAAACTGGGCTCTGGGACTACTGTTGCTGCTCCTAAGATCTTTGGAAAAAGTGAAGTCAGGGTCTGTCTTCTCCATCGGTGTGTGGCCTGCATCTGGGGCATGCATGGCACACAGCAGGCTCCTAGTATTTCTCCCTCAGTTGATGACACAGGCACTTTGGGCTTGGCAGCATCCTGAGGTCTAGCCAGGACTCTTTCCTTGACAATGTAGACTTGGTAACATTTACAAATCTGCTTTCCACCAGACAGGGAAGTCTTTAAGGACAGGAAATATTTTGTCTTTACATCCCTAACTTCTGGCACAAAGCCTAGAATATGGGAGGCAATTAATAAATGCTGAGTGATCACAAAGTCCCAAAGTGATGTTAAGGGAAATATCAGGAAAAGAAGGAACGTCAGAAAATGAAAGAATTCTACTACCCTATAAACATTTTAAAGACAGAGACTAGAGAGAACACACTGATTGACAGCCAGAGCCTCTAGGAGAGAACATGCACCCAAGAAGTATGGATTCCATGAAATAATGACTCCAAGAACGAATCTGAACCATGGAACGAAGCCTGCATATTTCATTAAAGCAAACTCTTAAGGCAGGTACTACCTTGACAGATTCCAAAATAATGTGATAAATAATAAACCAAGACGTGGAATGCAGATTTCTTAAAATATGAATTACCAACATACCGGCTAACAGCATTTCCAAAGATGGAGCGAATATTGTCTACAGTCGTGGCACTGGGCAGTGTTCTAACGTCAGCCACTGTCTCGCCTTGCTGATAAACAGAGCAGAAGATACGACTTACTGTCTCACAGCTGTGAATGAAACATCCCAACCTTACCTCCACAGGTGAACTCTTAAAAACCAAAAACATCCCTTTTTCTGATACAAAACCGACACTTACTTTTTTAACTGAGAAACCAATGCCTGAATTGTGTATTGAATACCTGGCAAAGAAAGACAACAGAACAGTAAGCAGCAAGAAATCGCCTAATGCACAATATAAGGCAGAACGCCCTTTTGGTAAAATAAATTGGTGGGGTTAAGTGATTTAAACAAAGATACAGCCAGTCATGAATATCTCCATATGTCATATTTTACCCACAGGAAAATAAGCCAGCACAAACATCATGGAGACAATCAATGCCAAATGTGGCAGAATCAAACAAAAACCAGGGTTGTTTGCTTTTACAGGGGGCTGAGTAGATGCAGGGGTACTTTAACACACTCTCCTCCTTGCCTACAGCATTACTACCCCAGACCCAACAGGTCTAGGTGCTGCATCTTGAGAACCTGGCCTTTACAACTCCTGAACGCTTATTCTCTCTCAGAGCCCTTCAAGACACCCCCCCCCCTCCTCATTCGCTTTCTCCTTGGGCCCCGGCCCTGCTCCAGCATTTTCCAGCCTTTTCTCAGTTGGCTGTTATTTATTTATTATTCCTCCTCCCATGGACCCCATGAACCGAAGGACTGTGTCTAGCAAAATGCATTTATTCAGCTAACAACTAGGAATTCACTTGACCACACCTAGAACCAAAACAGCCAACCAGAACTCTCTTATTTCCAGGGATAATATTTTGATACTGCTTGTACAACACCAGGAAAAAGCAAAGACACCTGAAGTAGAAGTCTGTTCCACTTTATTAGGAGTATATGTCTTATTCATTTTGGAGTTTTGAGAAATACTGGAAAACAGTTAACCGATCTCTGCTACAATTCAAGGACATGCAGGCTTGGCGAGCCCATGCTGGATCCACTGAACCAGCAGATGAAGTCAGTCTACAGTGGACATAATGTTCTTTTCACCTGCCCTGCCTTTCACTTTCTTCTTTTCAGAGCCCCTAGCTTTCCTCTGGGAAACCACCTCTTCCCCATTCCATCTGATAGACCCTTAGACTGCCAACCAAGGAGTCTCCCACAGACAGGAACGCATGATGGGGGTACCCAGGCCCTGCCAATCAGATGTACTCTCCAAGGAAACAGATGCTTGAGTAGAGACGGGAAAAGAACGAAAACAACTGCGGCAGGGCCACTATAAAATTCGAAGCCACCCTGGTTCTCGTGTCTTCCCCAGGGAGCAACTACTGACACTTGCTGCCACTTGGTGAGTCACTCCCAGCCTTCCCATAAATTTCTCTTAGGCTCAAGTCAGCTGGAGTTCGTCTGTTTTGCTTTCCACCAAAGAACCCTCACCGATTCAGAGACCAACTGCTCTCTCCTGCGAGATGAGAGAAAGCCCAGAACTGGTGACCAAACCTTGATCAGAAACCATCTGTAGGCTAAAACACAGCGTACTCTTTTCCATCTAGCTCGGAAACGGTTCTCAATTTATAAGCAGGGGAACACATTTCTTTGGTGAGACACCTCAAAGAACCACTCCCAGATTTTGGACTGTACCTGCCAACAACTTCCAAAATTTTCCCATACTCTTCACTCGGATTTTTTAAAGCTTTCCTCCTTGTGGATATGTTGTAAAAGAGATCTTCCACCTGAAAAGAAGATTTTTTTCTTGTAAATTCACAGAAGTACATGGAAATAAAGACCCAAGCTATCCACCTAAAGCTGGCTAGCAGAGAATCAAACTGTACTTACCAACAGTACAGTTCTAAGCACTGACTGGGGAGGGGGCAAGAGATAAGCCAGCCTTAGCAAACAAAGGAAATAAAAGAGATTTTTCCTGCTTCTCATTTCATTCACTGATTCCTCAAATAGGTACTGGGGGCTTTCTCTACAACAGGCTCTTTGCTTTGTGCTGGGAATACGAAGATAAATAAAGCACATCTTACCCACAATAGCACACAATTCAGCGGGGCAAACATGTAAATTTACAAATAACTGTACTATCATATGGCATCCAAACGTATTTTTCGAACTAAGAAGAATACTAAAATTTCTGAGATCATTTGGGCTTCTCGGAAATCACACTGTGGTCACCCTGGATACAGGATCTGTCTTAACATGCACTTAGAAGCACACATTCATTTCTGCCTCCTGCCTGCTGTACAAGTCTAGGGCTAGGAGCCTTCAGGGAAATGTGCCTTAGCTGGGACTGGAGGTGGAAGATGGCATGCATAACCTGACAGTGGGGTGCTTTACGGGATCACACAATGGGAAGAGACCAAATGTGGCACCACAGAAAAAGGCAGCATACTAGACTTTTTCTGATGAATGATACAATCATATTCCTCAAACAACCTCTGAGTGGGCAGATATTCTTTGTTCCATTTGATAGTTGGGAAAAGCAAGGTTAAGGGACATTAAACAACTTGCCTCTGGACACACAACCATTGAGTTGCAAGACTGAGATGACACTCTTCACTCGAGTCCTTCCGGAACTGAGTTCAAGGTCCTCTCAATGCCAACTACCTTGCCATTCATTTCTGCCATCCCCATAAAAAAAGATGCAGGGAGTACACAGGCTGCCATGCCACAAAAGCCAATAACCAAGCCTCTTGTTTACAGGTAATTATCTGCTGTTTCTTTTAACTAGCAAGACTTCATTTTATTATTGCTTTGGAAACTCAGAGACAATATTATTCCTTATTTCAATATTTATGCAGCGCTGTTTTTCAGCAATTTATACTCTCCTGTGCCATTCTTACCGTAATCTGGGTCCCTTGATTGCCCGCACATGGTTTAGGAGGAGCTGTCAGCTTTCCATCTGAGTAACTTGCTCTTAAAAGAAAATAATAAGAGATTATTAATATCCAACAGAAGCAGAATACTTATCCAAAACGTAAAAAAGAAAATTATACAACAACAGATTAAAATATAGCCGTATTATTAGACTGTCACTTTAAAAAAAATTTTTTTAACGTTTATTCATTTTTGAGAGATACAGCGCAAGCTTGGGAAAGAGAGGGAGACACAGAATCCAAAGCAGGCTCCAGGCTCTGAGCTGTCAGCACAGATCATGGCACGAGCCGAAGTCAGATGCTTAACCTACTTAGCCACCCAGGTGCCCCTATATACTGTCTTAATTACGATTTATTTCTTTGTTTTTCTACTATTCCATTATCATTCCAATTGGATACCAGAAAGAAAGAAAGAAAGAAAGAAAGAAAGAAAGAAAGAAAGAAAGAAAGAAAGAAAGAAAGAAA